AATTTTGTTAATTCATAGTATATGATGTTATTTTATTTTTGAGAACACCTTTTCAACATCACGTTTAAATTAAGATAATTACTGTTGAACTCCCATATCGGCATTGAGAGATTATCAGGTTTAAAATTAGATTTACAGTAGTTAGCAAAAACCGTACTTGATAGATTAATCTCTTACCTAATTTAACAAGTTATCAGTTTTAATGAGAGTTCAATAGTACATTTCATAGTAATTAGGCAAACAAAAAAAGTGGCAAATTTTTTAAGCTTTATCGTGAACATGTAAAATGAAATTATATTAGACATTTTTGATAAGGAATAAAAGATTCTAATATAAGATTATGTAATTAAGTCACATTAAACTTTGAATCCTATTTTTCATATTTTGATTTTTTATTTTTTAACAGTTTGTGAAGATTCGGTCTGCATCATTACTGGAGTTTATTATTATCAAAAATATCTAAAAAGGGATTAACTTCAGGAGTTAGGATTTGAAAATTTCATTGGTTGGGTATTTTCTAGATATCTGGTTTTAACCGGCACTCAAAAGGAAATAATCAATAATCGGAAAAACATCTTGTTTATTCCGGAATTAATATTAAAAGGTTTTTGATATAAATCATTCTTATGCATTGTGTTTATTTCCATATTAGCATCAGAATCTAAATTTAGAATAATCTATTGTTAAAATGGAATTCATACGTATATTTTTGCGAGTACAAACCGTGAATCGTTTGAAAGAAAAAAAAGAAATGAAAAACTGGTGCTTAAACCGTCCTTAGCGCATTAATTAAAATGACGGAATGAAATTTTACATATGGAAGTAATAATAAGCTCCTATGACAATGTTCTACGTATCCCTAAATCTCCTTTATACTAATTTCCCTTTTAGGTTATTAGTAACGGTACGGCAAATAAATTTCCGATTGAGAGCTGCGTGTGATACACTAAGCCGCATTAACATAATAACATAATTTTGGTCAAAAGACCTTAACGAGGTAATGTGCATAATTCCATAGAAAGTTTTCACTTTCTATACAAAGCTTTCGTTTTGTGCACATATTGTTAAGGGTATTATGTATAGTGATCGTACGTACGTACGTACATGGCGTAAAACTATTGTAGCACCTCCGTAAGTATTTCGGCATTGATGTTTAATATTAAATTGCTGAAAATATTTTGGCCACTTTTCCACAATAGTTCTATCTCATGTGTAATTATTATAATAACGGATGGTAACCCTGTAGTAAACTGTGAAACCATTTTACAAAGATTGAGTAAAAATTTTTGCATGTTAAGGAAATTTGAGAAGCCCTCCTCTACCCATCTCACATGGGATACAGGAGAAATTTGGTCATCACTAATCATAGTAATATTAAATTTACTATGTACTGTAACTTCGAAAGTTGCAAAAAACATTGATTTTGACCATTATATTGACTTACCTAAAAAAAAAACATCGTTTTTGACCATGCAATGTGACGCAATTATATAGTCCCATGTATACCTCAAATTTGACAAGAAAAAAACCTTTTATCAGTCTCGTATATGTATCGTGTCGATACTATGTTAACATTTTGTTAATAATAAGCATTATTGCACGGGCCTTATGTATCAACCCGTGTTTTTTTCTTTCACTTATTTGTTGCACGGGATTGTACGTCAGACATCGTGCAATAATGTAGTTATTTTATGGGTACGTAATGAATGACTGTGGCCTTCGGCCACGGCCATTCATTACATACCCATGCAATAATCAATACAAACATATTAAAGAAGTATTAATAACTACAAATTTCGTTTAGCATTACAAGCACCTGCTTTACTGCCTTATTGTCCAAAACCAATGAATATTATATAAGTTTTACCATTGTAGCAAAAAATTCGAGTAACATATAACATGTTCAATTTAGTACAAAGACAAATACCTTATTTTAAAATTGACAATCGGATCCACTCTCGACAATTCACTTTGATTTCTTTCTCGACAATACCTTTTTCCTGACAGTATTAGTTTACCGACAATTAGTTTCCCGACATATCAATTTTCCGACAATATCTATTTCCCGACAGTATCACTTTTCT